TTTTTTTAAAAATAAATTATGGTCATTAGCAACTGAAATATGAACGATAACTCTTAAAATTCAATCCCTTTTTTACGGATACTGAGGCGAAATGCTTTTGATAAAAAAAAAAAATAATAATAAAGTTCACTGAAGAAGAAGTTCAAGTTACGTTGTGAACAACGATTATTTGATTGGACGGGAAATACTGCATTAAAAAATGTCTTTGTTCCGGAGATCAGGGGCCTGTTCGTTTATGCGGAGCAACCGGTTTGTGCCTTTTTTAATGTAACATGTTTAGGTATAAAACCTGGCGGACATGCAAATGGGAAACAGGAGTACCCGGAGACAACCCACGTGGTGGGGCAGGTGACTCCATACCTTTTCACGTCAGATCGGGCAATAAAACCCCGGCCGCCTTGAGGAAAGGCTATCCACTGCGCCAACCGACCACCCTAAAACCNTTAAATTCGTGAGCAGATTTCTCAGATGTGTTTATCGATGTTTTGTGGAAACCTTCAGTTGATGTTTACGTGCACAGTACAAAACTATCGGTTATATATAGTTAGTAGAAGATTTGAAGATACTCTCAAATCGAACACCGTGTTTATCAGATTTAAAAGATAAAACACACCCGCCGTACCTGGGGCTATATTATAATTATATACCATATTATTTTAAGAGGACAAAGACATGGATCGTGCTATGTATAAATTGTACTGTTGTAATATGATGCTGAAAACATCAAATAAAGAGGCGAATCTACCTGAACATCATTACCCCATTTTTTATTAGAGTTAGGATTCGATTTGGACACGTCTGTAGGGTATAAACCTGACACGTTGAATCCCGCTACCGTGATGAATTGTTCACGCTACTCAATTCACCATCGCGCTAAGAATGATCTCTTTTATCGCTGTGGAAGCTTATTTTTCATGCGCTGTCGTGCGTGAGGCGTCGCGGAGTGATATGATAGTGTTAACATTAAACCATATTGATTGAGTGTCAGAATGGAAATTATATTGACTGTGAC